CCGACAAATGCAAGGGTCTAAATAACTTTAGTGAAATTCACATATCCCAAGGGCCTGACTGGGCGTTTCCGTCTCTGTCCCAATTATGGCTCTTGATAGCCTGTAATCCCAGTCCCTTTTAAACAAATTTTATTTCATTTCTTGTTGTAACTTAGGTAAGCACGTTGTAATTCATAGTCTTTGTGCCACTATGTGTATTTTAATAAACCATCATCATTATTATTATAAGACTGAATAGTACCTCTTGTTTGGCCAGGTACACCGGCTGAGGATGCTGGGTTGGTGTAACGATTATAAGGTTGTACCAGAGGCACTCTCCCGGGGATAAGTGCCCTCGCTTGTTGATGAAAGTGATTTCAATCCCAGCAGCGGCTAGGCAGACTTGATGCCTTTCGACCTGTAATAGTTTCCATATGAACTCGAGAAGGTAAATGTAAAGGTGGTTTAAAGTGTCTATACGGCCAACGGGGTTTTTATTGTTTTGATATCTTTAATCTGTAAGAAAGTATTCTCAGAAAAAAAAAGTTCATTCTGACGCCTCTTCACCCTAAAATCGAGCCTTAAAGTTCCCGCTTCGGCCACGCTCAATGAAGTTGACCGCGTAAGGGAAGATTGGCGATGAGTGACGTCACTCCAGGAGCGTCTCGAGCGTCGTGTTGTTACTTTGCTTGACAAACGCTGTACTTTTACAACACATCTATCGGACATATCCATGTCGCCGAAAACTCTTTACCTTACTGAAAAAAACAGTGAAATGAACCACTGGCGGGATTTGGCGCGTTCCTGACTTGACGTCACGACCCATTCTGAACCCAATCTCTTTTTTTGCCCCGACTCACGGTCACCTTCAATGGGCGTGGTCAAAGCGGGAAGTTTAAAGCTCGATTTCAGGGTGAAGACTCGTCAGAATCCAATTTTTATTCAAGAATACTTTTTTACATGTTAGATACATACCAAAACTATGAAAACCCTGTTGGCCGTATAGACACTTTAAAATGGTCCCTGTCTGTTTGATCTGTGTTGTGCTCCTATAAAAAAAAAAATGGAAAAATTTTCAATTGAAATTTCGTACACGAGAAACTCTTGCAAACCATTATATTGGTCGAGTTAGGTCTCGGAAATCTATAATTAAGTGATTCATTCAAAAATTATGTTAAGCTTTGTTTACGAGTTGGAGATTTGCGTTCGGTAACTTGGAACGTTTTATTTGTGAAATGAAATATAAAATAATAAATAATAATAAAAACTTTATTTAAGTGTCAAATGTAATTAACTGTACAAGCACAGGCTAATTGGGGACACTAATCTAATCAACGATCGTTAATCAATTAACAATATAAATTCTAAAATCTAAAAAAAAAATAATAATAACATTAATATCACGACCTGCAGAGATCGCAGCAGTCACTATTATTAACTAAACTGATACTCGCAACATCTAACTTACGTAGGGTGGTTTTCAACGACTGGAGGCTAGGTGATTGTTTGACCAGGTTGTTAAGTCTTCCATAGCGAAGGTCCGAAATAACGTATTGAGTGTTTCCCATTGTTAACAGTATTGAATCGAGGTAGATTGAAGTCTTTCTTTCTCAGATTGTAACTTGAACTATTTAAGCTAAAAATTTCGGCCACATTGGTGGGGGAATGCTTATGCTTAACTTTATACAGAAGGATAGCAATGTCTTGAAGTCTACGATTATACAGTGTAGGTAATTGTGATCTTTTGAGCAGTGTCTCATAGGTATCTGACTTTGTTCTATACACTGCTCTTAACACGCGTTCTTGAAGACGTTCAATTTTCCTGCAGTCAGAAGCTTTGCAAAAATGCCATATTAAGTGACAATAACTGAGTAAGGTAGGGTAGGATAGAAGACTTAAAGATGGTAAGCCAAGCTGGACAAGGAATAAGATTGCGCAGGCGCATAAAGACTCCCACTTTCTTGCTTGCTCTCTTACACAATTCACTGATATGATCACTAAAGTTTATTCTGTTGTGGATGCGGACGCCGAGTATTTTGATATGATCTGTGTTAGTTATGACCTTTCCATCTATGCAAATATCGTTAAATTGTCGGTAAACTGTTGTTTAAGGCTGGTCTTTCTCTGTTTGCTGTGTAACGATCGGTCTCAACACTGATACTACCTTGGTGGAGCACGAAGAAACAGTAACAATGTCAAGTAACCAACGTAAAGATGATAAATAAAAATAGAATGGTGTTATCGTTGTCACTTAATTCTATCGGACATTTCCATGCAGAACGTGGCCGAACTAAGTATCTGTGGCGTGACTTGAAAACGTTTCATAGGAATATGAATTATTCAAGTGCGTTGTTCACGCTGTCTACCAAAGAACAACTTTAGAAAATTCTGCATGTAGGCGAAATGTTGATCGGAGAGTCGTACCGTTTCTCCCTTCTGTCGTTTATGTTGGAGATTTGCTAACTTAGACAAACATGGCTTTCTTAGGGCAAAAAACATTTATTTGTCTTTGATTTGATTTGTTATCATCACAGTTTACAATCAAGAGACTGTAACAGGAGAGGAGATTTTACAGTCAAACTAAGTGATGCGTACCCCTTAAGATTACATTAATGTAATGATCATTTGGATTTTGAACCCGCCAGTCGTTTCAAGAATGCAGTAAGGAATTGATTATTTGATTATTGAACCCGCTAGCCGTTTCACGAATGCAATAATGGATTGATTATTCGAACATTGAACCCGATAGCCGTATCCGTTTTGAAAAGGCGCGGATCATTGCTCAAATTAGAAGTCCATTTCTGAAGTCCAACAACATTGTTCTATTTGACGAGGAGTCCTGAATATGAACAAACTGCACTGTAAAAACAATGCGAAAACAGTCTATCGCAAATATTAACGAGATAAAAAAAAGTCTTGCGATGGCTTCACTCGTAAGCTATTTTTTTCGACCATGAATACACACAAGAACTTCTAAAAGTTCGTCAAGATGTAAATAGGCGAAAAAGCTCTCGATAACATTCCATTTACAACATTTACAAGAAGTTCTACACAACACTCGAACTCACCTTTCCCGCCAAGTCTGACGCCATGTTGAAATAGTTCCGATCCATCATCACGTGTTCGCATAATCCAATCAGAAATGGACTTCTGATCTGAACCATGATCCGCGCCTTTTCAAAACGAATACGGCCATCGGGTTCAATATTCAAATAATCAATCCATTATTGCATTCTTGAAACAGTTGGTGGGTTCCATGTTCAAATATTCAATTCGTTATTGCGCTCCTGAAATGATTAGCGGGTTCAATATTCAAATAATCAAATCATCAATGTAATCCTGAGGGGTAC